AGGGACTGGGATGAACTGGGATGGACTGGGAGGGAACTGGGAGGGACTGGGATGAACTGGGATGGACTGGGAGGGAACTGGGATGGACTGGGATGGACTGGGAGGGAACTGGGATGGACTGGGATGAACTGGGATGAACTGGGCTGAACTGGGATGGACTGGGAGGGAACTGGGAGGGAACTGGGCTGAACTGGGAGGCGGCCCCGGCTCCGCCCCTTCCTCGCGGCAGCCCCAAACTGGTCCGAACTGGTCCGAACTGGTCCAAACTGGTCCGAACTGGTCCGCAGAAGCGCCTGGCCTTCGCCGCCTGCGTCTCTGTCGCGATTCTGGTCGTTATCGCGATAGTCGCCGCCTCCGTGGCCGCCGGGTAGCGCCGCGCGCTCCCCATTGGCCGAGACGGCTGTCAATCAACGCAAACCCCGCCCTCCGGCGCCTCCCATTGGCTGGCGGGGAATTCCCGCCTGCGCGCGGCTGCGATTGGTCGGTTCGGCTGTCAATCATGGAGCCGCGCCCCCTCCGCTGTTCAGCTGTCAATCACTAAGCCACGCCCTCCTGTCGTTCTGATTGGCTGGCGGTGACGTCATCGAGTAAAGCGTTCTGCGCCTCTTCAAAAACGCCGAAAATGCCCCAAAAAAGCGCGGGAAAAATCCCAAAAAAATCCCAAAAATTCCCAAAAGGGGCGGGGTTCTCTCCTCGAATTCCCGAATCGCAGAAGACGAAAATCCCAGGAATTTCACCCAAAATAAATCCAAAATTCCTTCAAAAGGTGTCGCTCCCTCCGAAAAAAAATTGTTCTGGAAACGCCAAAATTTTTTGGTTTTTTTTTTTTCTCAATTTTTCCCCCTCTGGAGTTGAGGGAAATTCGTCGTTTTGTCCGAAATTCCCAAATTCCCGAAGAATTCTGTCAAAATCCTGCCCCAAAAATCCCAAAATTACAGAAAAAATCCTCAAAGTCCACCCCCAAAATTACGCCAAAAATACCCAAATTCTTCCCAAAATCCACACATTTCTGCCCAAAATCCTCAAATTCCCGCAAAAATCCCCGAAATTCTGCCCAGGAATCACAAAATTACCCCAAAAATCCCCGAATTCCAGCAAAAATCCCCAAATTCCCCCCAAAATTCCCGAATTCCAGCCAAAAAATCCCAAAATTCCACGAAAAGTCCCCAAATTCATGCCAAAAATTCCCAAATCCCCCCCAAAAACCACCAAATCCCCGCCAAAAATTCCCAAATTCCTGCCCAAAATCCCCGAATTCCTCCCGGAAATCCCCAAAAATCCCCAAATTCCTGCCCCAAATCCCCGAATTCCACCAAAAATCCCCAAAATCCACCAAAAATCCCCAAAATCCACCAAAAATCCCCAAATTCTTCCCAAAAATCCCCAAATTCTTCCCCAAAATCCACAAATTCCCCCCCCAAAATCCCCAAATTCCCCCAAAACCTTCAGATTCCCGCCCAAAAATCCCCAAATTCCCACCAAAATTCCAGAATTTCCCGCCAAAAATCCAGTTTCCCGCCAAAAATCCACAGTTTCCCGCCAAAATCCAAAAAAATCCCGCCAAAAATCCCCAAATCCCCCCAAATTTCGACCCCCCCCCGAGGGGGGCGGGGCTTGGGGGGAGGGGGCGGGGCCTGGGGCACATCCTGCCCCTCCCCCACCCCTGCCTCAGTTTCCCCGGAGAGGCTCGAGATGGTGAGGGGGGAAATTTGGGGAGATTTTGGGGGAAATTTGGGGGATTTTGGGGAATTTTGGGGATTTTGGGGAATTTTGGGGATTTTGGGGAATTTTTGGGGGAAAACTGGGAAAATTTGGGGAATTTTGGGGAGTTTTGGTAGAAATTTAGGGGAATTTGGGGAGAATTTGGGGAATTTTGGGGGAGATTTGGGGGAATTTTGGGTCATTCTGGGACCTTTTGGGGAGATTTTGGGGGAAATTCAGGGAATTTGGGGGAATTTTGGGGAGATTTTGGGGAATTTGGGGGAATTTTGGGTCATTTTGGGACCTTTTGGGGAGATTTTGGGGAATTTGGGGAATTTTGGGGGAAATTCGGGGAATTTTTGGGGAGATTTGGGCTCTTTTGGGGAAATTTGGGGCGATTTTGGGGAAAATTAAGGATTTTGGGGACATTTGGGGTCATTTTTGGCCGATTTTGGGGTCATTTTGGGTCATTTTTGGGAGATTTGGGGGGGAATTTGGGGAATTTTTGGGTCATTTGGGGAATTTTGGGTCATTTTTGGGGCGTTTTTGGGGGAATTTTTGGATTTTAAGGGACCCCCCCG